TTTTGGCTATTGCTACAAATATACCCCAGCGACTTAAGACTGGTTTTGTGGTCCAGGGTCACAAATTATTTATTTAACAGCTTAAGTTTGGTTACATATTCTTCTGCTCAACAAGCTAAGAAACTGAAGGACATATTGAAGAGAATGTAAATTGCATAAATTCCATATTAAAGCACATGCTCTCATCATGCGTGCAAATGTACATTTGCACTTTGGCTCAATCATAAGATTGCATTTGAATAAGCTGGTATGTAATTTTCACACTGATGCTTAGGGTGCATTATATTTTTCTTCTATTACTTCTTTTAATACTTTATATTGTTCATGGTTTTAATTATTTTGTTTTTGCTACTTTAATGCAATTGACTGCCCATTGAAACTCATTTGCATTAATTTCCTTTTCATTTAATTACTGAGCTTTATGAAAGAGAATTCATATTTCATACCAGATAACACGCCTCACACTCTTAATGGCACGTTTGTGAGCAAGATAATTGTTGCCATGATACAAAAATGAGAAGTAAATTGCTCCAGCCCTGCCTTAAGCACACAGCTTTATGTGGAGATCAAAAGCACAAGAAAGTCCAGAGAAAGAAAAAAACAAATAAACAAGGGCATAAAGCATAAAACATAGAGGGTAGGGAAAGAAAAGAAAGCATTGAGCATTCTTTGGCAGAGCAATCGCTAAAGGGGCTGGTTACTAAAGGCGCTGTGACATTCCAATGTGGTTTCTCATTAGTCTTTCTTCCTGTGATTGTTATTGGAGGAACGGTACCTGCAGCAGCCTCTGCACACACATGGAATGACCGCCTGCTGCAGCCAGATGCAAAGCTGTTTTACCTGCAGAGAAGAACAACAATGACATTTACAACAAAACATACAGTAAGTTTTTCATAAATGGGTTGGTCCCGCTTTTGCTGTAATGGCAACAGCAGCTGCATGAACTTTACAAGTTTGTCTAAAGCCTGAAGATGATATTCTCCCACACGATTTGAATTTCACAAATTTGCTTATTTAACGGTTTGATTAGCAATAGTGCGGAACCTTAGTCTTACCGGCAGCATCTACGGCCTTCACATTGACACTGTTATCCAGGAAAACATTTAGACTATTCATGAGGCCTTTGCTAGCAGCAACATGAAACCTTAAAAAAAGAATATAAAAGTAAATTCATAAAATATAAGCATAATTACCACCAATAACATCAGTAGTTGTCATAATGTTATGTATATATAAATACAACATGAATATTGTATATTTATTGCATATATTCAGACAATTAATATCATCATACTTGTATGAAAATCAAAACAAAAAAATATAGGTGAGTTTACCAGTGATTTACCAATTATAGGAGGATGTATAAAGAGCCAAGAAACATGAAAAGAAACATGCAACAACATGGCAGTCTAGGCCTGTTTCAACAGAAAATAGACACAGCCACTCCTTGAGCCTAGTAACAAAGCAGCATGAGACATCAGTGCTAAGATCACCAAGACTGTTGCTATTTGAAAAGTGAAATAGTTAGTAGACAAAAGAAGGATCAGCAAGATGTAGGAGTGGGTATAAAGACATTGTGTAGCATAACATTTTATCTATTTAAAAAAGGAATGAAAATAAAATGCACAGGAACTATTTACATATTTACTGGCAAGGTCAAGGCAAGAAAATGCATATATTCTATTTGACAGAAAAACGTTAGTAGGTAGAAAATATTTAACAAAAACAGGACATGACTGAAATCCTGTCACAGGCCTGACACACCTAATATATAACAACCCCCTTTAAAAACAGTTGACCTGAAGAGATAACAAAATTACAGGCTGCATGTAACACTGCACACCATGTTTAATACTCTCCCATAAACATATTATCACCGGAGAACTGCTGTGCTACACATTTATGATTTAGATAAACGCCTGTGTAGTTAGAAAGATTTACTGTATGATGATTTGTTTAGTCTGTGGAACAACTTCTCTACTTTCCATGCTTCTTTGTTTCTCTAATTAGGAACCTCTTTTGTGTCTTACATAGCTCCATTGTAAATGAGAAGTGATGTGACGGGCAACTGTCTAACTAGTCAGGTATGAAAAATTAAACACTTGTTAAAACCTTGTAATTGCCTTTTTCTTTCATTTTGAAAAAACAAACAAACACAATATCTAAACCAAATGACAGAAGCAGCAAACGTTAATATTGGGAATCATGGAGCTTTTTCTTTTTTAATCTAAATTTTTCATCTATCTATGAAGCAAGCAAAGAGGATGGAACTAGAAACAATCTTGCTATGACTGTTTTAGTGCCATATAAACAAAAATGTTAAATACGAGATTAAATTCATATTATTTTTAGAATGTCAACATAAACTCACAGCAACACAAGAATAATGTTGTAATATTTTCAGAATAAAGTCTTAGAATTTTGAGATTTAAAGTCACAATATTTTGAGAATAAATTCAAAATTACCAGAACAAAGTTGTAGCAACTTGAGAATAAAATCATAGCAAAATAAGATTAAATTTACAAGAATAAAGTCATAATTTTTGACATGAAAAAAGCAAGCTGCAAAGCAAAATCTTTCACACGAAATATGGAAATTGGATGGCTTCACAATGAAAATTAAGTAATAAAATAGGTTCTAGCAAGGCAATGTGAAAACTACATATTTTGACTTTATTTTAAAAAAAATTAACAATTCATACTTTTTGGCTTGATTCTGAAAAACAAATGTACTGATCATACTTCTTGGAGGTTCAACATTTATTTGTGTGCTTAGTTTATCCTTCTTCACACTTACAAAACTATACTACTATTTATCACCACAAGTGTGCAGCAGGCCCAAGGAGGAAAGATCTCATACAGATTGTGGAAGCACTACCATAGCTTTGTCAATTATACAATAAAGGAATACAGAACTCTGCACAAAGCAAACAGGGCATTCTAGATAGCTTATCCTAGAGGGTAAAATGCAAGAAGAAGAAAAAACAATGCAGAATTGGGATCTAAATAGCATTAAGGGTGAAATAGCAGTAAAGAGGTTAGCGTGCATGTGCCAGTCATGATCCAGGCAATTCTAATGCAAAAGAAGAAAAACACTACAAAACGACTACAGACTCCCTATGTTTCATTCTGAAGCAGCTACTGAAAATAAACAAAAAACAACAATCAAGGTATTGTGCATTGCAAGGAAGGATGAGGGCACAAAAAATAGGACTATCAAAATCCCTTCCCTCATTCCCTGGCTGGACATTTGCACTTTTATTGAAAAGCTATCTTTTGTTTTTAGATGAGTGATGAAATGCATATAGGAAAAGTGAGCACAGGAGTCCCGGCAGGCAGGAAAGAGATATGTTTTTGAGTTTTGTTGCTTAAATGTAGAAAATATAGATTATACGCGGGGACTTATTCTTAGTAAAGTTTGAGTAAAGAGCATGAAATACTGCTATTTGTACAGTGGACAATATTTTTAAGCATCACGTAAGAGGGGGACATTTGAAAGTGGCACTTACGCAGAATGGCCCTCTAGGTCTAGTTTGGTGGGGTTGGTTCCTTTCTTGAGTGTGGCTGTGAGTTTCTCTATATCTCCATTCTCTGCTGCCTTCATCAGACGCTCATCATACTTTCCCCATTCTGTAATCTGAGACAATGGCAAACATAAAAAACCACAATATTCACACCACCAGTTTCACTACCTATTCTACTGCAGCGCCACAGATTCATCACTGGAAGTGTAATTTCTTTTGGCATTGTCTGTTCGGCTCGGCTTTCTTTGTTTTAATTTTTCAAAAACTAAAACTTCTTGATTTTGGTTGGCTGACAGACGTTCTAATCGGTCTATTATTTTCAATAACCGCACTATGAAGTAGTTCCAGGTCTGTTGACCGCTTTACAATTCCATATCGCCAAATTATTTCAGTTATTTAAAGAACCTTATAGTCTACCACAGCAAAGTAACCAGAAAGCGGATAAAATAACAAACACATTTGTGAGATTATTCTACAGTCGTATTCCGTTGCAACAACACAGTAAACAATCTCTGCTTGTCTCACTCACTCAAGCGGAATGTAAACCACAGTGAAATGCCGTGATAAAATCAACTACTGTCGTGTATTTCCTGAAGATGTGATAAACGAGTCTGAAGAGTAGAGTCCTTATCACTTTAGCCATAAACATAACAATTCATTCCTGGCGTTCAACAAAATAATACGCAATTTACAGTACCACCCACAGCCCCATTACTACATACAGATTCAAGACGTTATGGGCTTGGTCCAAAGTCTTGACAAGCTTTTCGATATAGTAAAACTTGTATCTGATGTTTACCTCGTTTTTCTTAAGCCGTTGTTTTAAACTTTTCATAGTTCCAGTATTACTGTAGGCTAACTAAGCCCAGTGCACTTGTCCAGATGTCCAAATGTGCGTCTCTTGTCAAAGTTTGCCTGCAAACTTTATTTCACCCCTCGGTTACACGGTTCAGGCTCTATTGAGACCTGACGCACTCCAATGAACCAATCGTCAGGAAAACTGTGTAACAATGAGCCAATCGGCGTGCACTGGGAGTCTCCGTAATCCGTATGAAGGTCACACCGTGGAAAAGCTGATTCACATGATTTGTGGGCTACAGATTTCACAGACTCTATAGATGCCTTCGAAACTAGCTCGACAATGAGGGTTTGTTTTGGATACAGCTTCGAGTAATGCTGTCAGTAAGCTAGTCCTGTTTGAAAACTGGTAAACACAGTTGCGTCATCAGTTGTTGGTTGGGAAAATACCTTTTTTAATTTAGCATATGATTTAAATGAACATGAATTTATTATATAAACTGATATTGCACTTTTTGTGATTTTGTAGAAAAAAAATGATATACTTGCGCTACCATGGACCTGTTGTCCATGTACCAGGTTTTAAAGTTTGGACATTGCGCGCACAAAATAAAGGCCAGTAATTTCTAGGTTCCGGAGTTATTAATGAAAATGTATATTATGGCGCCACCTAGTGTGTGTAGAAAGTCTGTATGCACGCTTGATTGACCCAAAGCTTTTTTGCAATTTGCAGCTTCTTTACGAAAGAGCCACTCGAGTTTATGAATCATCCTGCGAATCACATCCTCTCTGTGGTATCATTTAACAGCCCTCTAAACATATAAACAAAAGGAGATTCATTTCTTTGTTGAAATACAGAAAACACTGAACAATAATTCAGATGCTGCTGCTTCTTACAATAAAAATACATTTAATTCCAGGGTTATGTTCTTTGAGGTAAAGTGTCCTTTTATGATGTTTGAGTGGCTCCAGCTCAAGTCTGGGAACTCGCCAAATCCAGTAGACAAACCGGTTTCAAACATGAGCCTCTTGAAAGACCTCATTCATTCCGCCCTTAAAATATGTTCTATGTAACAGCAGCCACCCAAATAGAGCGTATTCATTGCCCTTGCCATTGTATTTCTCAAAAAGCAGTTGTACAAAGTGCTTTAACGGTCACTGCAGTATGTTATGTGAAGCTGAGCTACACTCTCGTGTTAGCCAGTGCTGCTGTGTGGTTTCTGAACATTTGTAGTCTGGTGAAAAAATATTGTTTATTTATTAACATTATTTATTAAATTATTATCTGTACAGTAGTAACATGCCCTTTTAATTTCATATATTTAAGACAACATACTCAAAAGTTACAATTGCAAATCCCCCAAATGTATATTAGATTGAAGCAAGCAAAGAACTAAAAACAGACACTTGGACTTTAAATCAAACTCTTCAAAGGCTATACATTTTCAAATATGACCCAAGGTCAACGGCATCTGCTTTAATGTGGCTGCACACCATTGAATTGCTATTGCTACATAACCTTTACTTTTCTTAACATCAAGATGTTATTCATTGTTGAAGCATCGTTAAATTGGCAAGAGTCCATGTGTCGTTGAAAAAAAAAAATGCAGCAGAGCCACAGCTGAGAAGGACAATTTATTGAACTGACATGTTTGAAGAAAAAAAAAAACTGAAATTTTGCAGCATTTCAACTATACACGACCAGGTTTTGTTTATGAATATTGCATAAACCAAAAAAAAAAAAAAAAGGCTCAATAACATGGGAGCAATTACCAGCAGCTTTCCGAAGAAATGTAATCCTTATCTGGAATACCAGACATCATCCTTAGAGTACGGAATAATTATTGACTGATGTTGTGGGCACTAAGATCTTCCACAAGACTTGATGAATGGATTTAAAAAAAAATAAAATAAAAATGAGGACCAGAACGTAGCACCAAACATCCTCACTGGCTTTGCCCTCAGACAGCTTTGCGATGATATTCTGGAGGTGCAACCTCATAGTCACTTGCACTGAACAGAGACGATGAATTCTTCACCAAATACCTAAATCGAGCATAGAAGTCAGTTACTACCTGCAAGCAATGTATAAAATCCATATAATGATCTGCAAAGCTTTGGCTTGACATTAGGCCAGCTTTATTGAAATCTAGTGTACAAGATTATCATGAAATGTCTTAACCTGACAGCCTCAGAAAGTTGCTCAAATCCTCAAAACAAATTCAAAACACAGATTTCTACTTACTTTAAAAAATCTTGCAGGTAGCTGAGAAGCAGGGCCAGACTCTTATCATCCAGAGGTGTGTAGGCCAGCATTGCTCCAATTCTCACTGTCAGTGGACACAAAAGAGGCTATAATTAATCAAAACATTCTCTGAGACATGGAGACTGATTAAAGCTCCCCCTAGAACTCATTCGCGTGTTCTTTGCTGTATTTTCATGATTGCATTAAGCTTTGAGGATGTGATAATGGGCATGGATTAATATGCATCTTTCTATAACAGTTTCATAGAGCATTCAAAGCTCACATTTAACATTTTGTTTCTTGTAAAATATCTGAAATTGACTGGTTGCTTTGATTTTAAAGGTACAATTAGTTTTCAAAATAAAATTACCATACCAAAAAGCCTCAGCAGGTGCGGCGCTCCGTAGATCTGAGACATGGATTTATCTGGATGGTTTGCTAGGATCTCTGCATACTGTGGCCTCTCAAACTTGTAGAGGAGCTGAGTGCCCAACATGACATTGAAGTACTCGCGGATTCCAGCAACCACCTCATTTACGGCCTGTTCCCTGAGTAAAGATCAAGTACATCTTTAGAAACTCTCTCTACATCTTATTTGTAAATTTCTACAACAGGGTATTTCAAATTAACTGGATGATTTACATAAATTAATAATTTGTACAATGGTGATTTCAACTAACTGGATAAGAAATTTTTTTACATATGGCATACAAACATACTTGTTATCAGAGTTTCCTCTTGTTCTCTTGTAACTTGCATAGTCCTCAAGGACATCATCTACTTTCTTTTTTGCAGGCAAGTGAAAAAGCTAAAGAAAAAAAAAAAAGGAAATAAACCACAAATATTTTCACAGTGCATATTAAGGCGTGTTCACACCATGTCAGAATTAGCGTAATTACAAGATTCCGACTTGTAAAAAGTTAATGTCTTTGTAAAACTCATAATTATAACCTATAAACTCTGACAGTAGTTTTATTAACAGTAAAATGCAGTTCTGTAGTTACCTTTGTAATATTTCTGTTCAATTATGCATAAAACTAATGACTAACATTAATGTCTGAATAATGCAGTAATCTAAAAATGTAATAACAGACAAAAAATACTTTAATGTGGCTAGCACATAGTTGAATACATCTAATGGCCTACTAATTAAACTATACGTTTATTAATAATCTATTTGCATAACAACTGCTTCTTTGATGGATTGCAGTTTTGTCTCTTGATTACTCAAATTACAAATTCATTTAATTTTAAAGATTTATTTTTGCATTTCTTGCCTTTATTATATAGTACAGTGGAGATCAGACAAGAAGCGAATTGGTACAGAATCGGGAAAGCACGAGCCGGGACTTGAACGCTGGTCGCCCTAGAAATGCATAATTCCAAGTCTGAAAAAGAACAGCTCCGAGTAGAATGGCTCAGATTGTCATCTAATAATTATGCTAATTACAACATGGTGTGAAAACAGTATTCTATTTCAAAACTCAAAATTTAAAGGGGTTATATGATGTTGCTAGAAAGAACATTATTTTGTGTATTTGGTGTAATGAAATGTGTTTATGCGGTTTAAGGTTCAAAAAACATTATTTTCCACATACTGTACATTATTGTTTCTCCTCTATGCCCCGCCTTTCTGAAACGCGTCGATTTTTACAAAGCTCATCGTTCTGAAAAGCGAGGTGTGCTCTGATTGGCCAGCTATCCAGTGCGTTGTGATTGGCCAAATACCTCAAGCGTGTGACGGAAATGTTACGCCCCTTACCATACTGTGATGGCGTGTCCCAGAGCGACGAGACAAAAACATTAAAACCCATTATAAACGAGGCATATGTTGCATCCAGTGGGGACATAATTACGGATTATAATGACTTATACTGTCTTTTTACGCGTTGCGTTGCATCGCTCCGCGTAAACATAAAACCATGTCTACATTTGTGATCAGAGAAATTACAAACAACAAGCGCTACTCTACACTGCTCAAAACTCGCGTTTGAATCATCAGTGGCAAATCCTTTAAATATGAAAATCAACAATACAGTTACGCCTTCTTTCTTTGCGTGAACATTTGGGCAGTGTTATGCAAATCTTCCCACATGGTGACGTAGACATGTGGGAGTGTGTTTAAGCGAGAAAGGAAAACTTGAAATCGCATCATATGACCCCTTTAATTGTACGACCAATTTATACAGATATCCAGGAAGATTTCTGCAAATATACAGGTGGAAAAATATTTAATTATATTAATATATATATATTAATATTAATATATATATATATATATATATATATATATATTAATATATTTTTTCTTCTATGTCTAGTTGTTGCTTTAGACAGCATTCTGTATTTTAATTATTATACAATATAGCTGAATAAAGAGCAATGCAGAAGTTGGATTGGGTTGAGCATGGGAGGTTGGTTTAAGTTACCTGCTTCTGTCTAGTGATCAGGTCCCAGTCATCTACCAGCCATGGTTTTAACTCTTCAGGAATTTTTACCTTCACTTCTACTCTGTTAATGAAAGTCTCCTCCTGTACACAAAGCCAGTTTGGGAGTCAAAAACAGCCTCACTTTTCACTTCTGTTAAAACACCAACTCAGAGTGACTCTAAATGCTGGCCATTTAATTTAAACAGGCTTTGAACTGACATACACTCTCCACAGTTGGGTCAACACGTGCCCTCTTCTTGCGTGGGGGGTGAGGCATGTCCCCAGTGCTAGTGCCTTCTCCAGCCCCTGGTGCTGAGAAGTAAACAAGACGAGATTGTTATCAGTTAATAATCAATGGCTCCAAACCACATTTAATACTGTATGAATTTTATTGCATCTACAACTACTTAAACTTTTTGACAAATCCAACTTGGAGAACAACATGACAGATCTGTAAATTAACTGTGAAACTCTTTAAATGGCTTTTTAAATACATTTAAACTCAGAAGGTTCAATCAAACTGCTTTGACAGGTCAAAATACATCAG